AATGGAATCAATTGCCAACATAAGCATTAGGAGAGTTCATGTCCCTTGCAGATTTTGAGTCAAGTCACTAGCCTTTAACACAATTCAGAACTGAAACACCTGGACCTGTGCTCCCACATAGCAGCAATCAACTGGAGTTTAGAGTAGCTTGTTAAAACAGCTGTCTGTCTACAGGAGGTAGAGCTCTTCACTTGGCCAAGGCTACCAGAAGACTGTCTGGCTCTGGAGGTTATCTAAATCTGATAGGCCAGTTAGCCTATGAAAAGAGATGAGATTCCTGCAGTTCAAGTAGAGTTCCTCATCCATTTTGAGCTTTCTCGTGGCCAAGTAAGACTGGGAGGTATTTAAGGTCAGTCCTAACTAAAATACTGAGAGAAAATGAACTACACTGCAGTGTCCCTGCCTCAACAGAAGCTAAGACATTTTTTCTGCTGATAGTTTGAACAGGTAAGCCTTACAGTTGGGTCTTATTCCCCTTGGAAGGAGTCACTTTCATGGTGTGCTAGACTCCCATACTATGATGTGTCATGGGTGCTCAGGGATCATATATATGCTGTATGTAGTATGGGTTTAAAACATCAGTAAATTCTTAAACCTTTGGAGGAAATGAAGATTTAGAACATTCTGGTCCTTTGTTTCTCTCACTTTAAAAGACTTAAAGAGAAACTAATTTGGAATATACCACAACCTCAGGCTGAAGGATATAATTCCATCTCCACAATTCTTAGATTTGCATATTTTATAGGCTGTCATTTGTCAATCAGGTCACTGTTGGGGAAAAAAAAAATGAAATACCTTGATGAATGCTGTAAGAACTCTGCATTTTGATAGAAAACTCTGTTTAAAATGTTGATTTAGATTTACTTGCTAAGCTTGCCTGTTCTGCCTGATTGTATCTACCACACATGGATGATTAACCTAGTTGAAATGCTAAGAATTGAAGTGCTGTAAACCTCCTTCCTGGACCCTGGACCCCAGACTCAGTTGATTTACAATGTGTCCTGTAGGCCTGTTTGCACATACCAGATAACCGATAAGGAACAAAGAGAGGGAAGTTGCACCAGGCTTACACCAGATCTACCCTTCCTGGAAAAGATGTTTAACCAAAACTATAGCTTTTAGAAGATGTTTGATCAAAGTGTCTGCTGAGGAATGCTTTTTGTGTAATGACTATGTGAGCCTATATAATCTGTACCTAAAACTGAATGGGGGTCGATC